GTTTCCTTTCCATTTCATGATTTGTTTTTGAATGGTTGAACATTTTTTTGTCTATCCAAACATTTTTGGAAGTCATGAGCATTTTTTGAAATTATGAACTTGTGGTGTGGTGGATATTTGCCGACCACACCACCACCATGATCTTCTTGCGGGCGACAACGAAGATTCGACTCTATTCAGACTGAACTGGAGCTCGAACTCCACCGGGAAGCTCCTTGCGGATATTGTCGTCGTTGCGGGACTAGGCAACGGCAACGCCTGGAGCGTGGTGTGGTACGCCTTCATCGCCCCGAGCGATGCAGGCTTGGGAGCGAGATACATAGGAAGACGATGAGTGGAGCTAGCTAGCTAAACGTTGGTGGATGCTTCATGGCAATATTGATTAGCATTATATCAACAAACCAAACAAACTATAACTTTTACTCATACTCCCTCCGTCCCAAAGTTGTACTAATGATGAGACATTTATTTTAGAACGGAGGAAGTACTATTTACAGTAGGTACTTTGCCCGGAGTTGCCGATGCTAATGCTCCCTCAGTGGTAGCTGCATTACACTTTCTTTTTCATTTTTCTTCCAAGGAAAGCTGCATTACTCTCAATCATCAATACTGCCCCAGCCACTTTGTCCACTTCAGCGTGAATTTTTTTTTTGAAGGAACACTTCGGCGTGATGAGTTCCCCTTTCTTGAGGTACCTGGCCCAATGAGCCAGGCCTGCTAGTTTGTCGCCCTCCCTAGCCCAATGAGACCGATGGCTGTGCTACTTGAGCTTGTCGCCCTTCCTTCCTCCTTCCCGTCCATCAGTTCCCCCATCGAAACAAAATCAGTCCCCCCACCAAAAGCTAGGGTTAGGGTTAGCGAGGCGGCGGCGGCTTTATTCCCGATGCCGATCGCCATGGACACCGGAGGCGCGCCGGAGCCGGATGAGGAGTCCGTCGTCTTCCCCAGATGGGCGATGCTGGATCGCAGAGGCCGCACCCGCTGCCACAACGGCCTAAACGCTGCCCGTGTGGCTGCCAACAAGAACAAGACCGCCGTTCCAGTCCACATGGACGGCGGCCCCTCCTGCTACGTGACCTTCACCCTCGCGGCTCCTCAAAAAGGGATCTCCTGCCTCAACCTCCACTTGCCGGAGGAACCTCCACTTACCCCAGCCACCCCGCCCGCCTATGCCTACGTCCGGGCAACCGACAAGGACCTCGTCCTTTTCGACATCACCAACCCGAGCCGGTCTTGCTACTGGGACCCCCCGTCAGATCTGTTCGTCTACACGGCCGGCGGTCCTTCCCCCTCGGTGCAGCCGCTCCCTATGTACACCAAGGAGAGGGAGAGGCCGTTCCTGATGGACAACCTCACCACAGGCATCCTGCGGCTCGCGGAGGACCGCTACATCGTTGCCGACCTCAATGTCTACCCCAAAAGAAAGGGCAATGCCATGCGTGCCGAACTCTGCGTCTTCAACTCCGAGACTAGAAAGTGGAAAATCATCCGCAAATTGGACCCAGGCAATGGCGGACAGTTCCCCGAACTCTGGTCAACCGATAATGTGCTCGCCTTTGATGGCCGTTTCCTGTGCTGGATTGACTACTTCAGCGGTGTCCTGCTATGTGACTTCTCCACGTCCACTCCAGACTCCTTGGCGCTCCGCTTCGTGCCTTTCCCTGGAGAAAATAACTTCTCTGATGAGGTACGTGTTGAAAGGTACTCCCCGGAGAGGTTCCGAAGTGTGTCCATCACCCAAGGCATGATGCGCTTTGTCCACATTGACAATGACTACCATGACAGTCTCCATGGTGCCTGGCAATGGCTTAAGCTTCCTGAGAGAAAAAGGAAAGTGCAGCAGCATCAGCCTTGCAAGAAAATCACCATTTGGACTTTGAACCCCAAGTTTGAGTGGGAGCAGCATTGTGTGATCAACCTGCATTATCTTTGGGCGCAACCTGGTTACAAAGCCCTTGACATACATCAGTGTCTCCCCGAGTTCCCGATCATGACCGTGGATGACCCGGATGTTCTGTGCTGCCTGTTAAGGGAAGAGGATTATGGCAAGGGCTGGATGATCATGGTTGACAACCATGCGCATCTGCGGTCATGTACTCCTGAGTCCGAGTCTCTGGGCGTGGAAGCTCATGATAACCGGTTTCCTGATATCCCCCTACTTCCAACTGTCTTCTGCAAATACCTTGAAAGCCCAACAGGTAACTAGAAGAAGCTCTCTTATAATATTAAAAAAATGCTATGATGTCCCTTTTTTGTAGTTCTTACATATGACGTAGCATGGTTGCCTTTGCCTAGCTTTCTGTAACACTCTTGATTTTTGCTTGTTTACCTATGATGATGCACTACATCTGCTGCCCGGTTGGGTGTAAGATTCTCAAGGGTAATTTGAATTCTGACTTTGGTGCATGCTTGGTAGCGCTCCTGTATGCTATCCGCTCTCTGAATGAATCTCCTCGAAAGAGCCCCCCCTCCGTTAGCAACTCTCTGGCAACGACTTCTAGACCCAACCGCTCTACTAATCAGGGTTCTTTGCCCTATGTTATTCCCTGCCCTATGTTTACTCCTGTCTCAAAATTTCTATTTTGCTGCCTTCTGACGTTCATCACGGACCTCTAGTGTCGCCGTATTATAGTAATAAATTAATTAGTCAAAGCATTTAATATGTTGTTGCCATGAATCTTCTTTTAGGCTGTTCAAGTGTTTTTGAGTTTTAGCAGCTCCAGTTGTGTAGGTGCACTGCTCTGTATATCATTAATAGCTTTGATCCTTCTGCCACCGAGTTGTCCTTCATAGTCTAGAATCCTCTATTTCTCCTTGTTGAATCTTTTGCTCTTTATGGGACTATCCGCTTTGAATTCTCTTGCAAAGCATAAAGCCTCTATTCTATATCAAAGCAAATGTCAAGTACCTTCAGATGATATATGAAGCTTTTTACACATATTTTTCTTTTGGCAAAAGTTTCAGAATGTGCTTTTATGTGTTACCTTGGGTCAATCAGGTCAATCTTTGGCCGTTTCTGTTAGAATCCTTATATTTGGCTGTTTCTGTTAGAATCCTTTTGTTTCAGATAGCGTGTACTTTATACCGTGTAAATGGATACTGGAAGCCATTATCCATCCATGGGAATGCCATTAGGTAAAACTCCTGTAGTATTGGCATCACCGGTCTTCTCATGTGATTGTCTTCCTCTTAATTCTGGCAATGGGTCTTCCGTCTGTTTTCTTCATCCTCTCATGCCTCTCACCCTACATCCCTGCACATGTTGTCCCAATTGGGCCCATCTGCAGCATGGTCGACACCAGTTCCCTGCATGTCAGTTGTAGTCCTTCTAGCTGATTGACAAAGCTTTGATCGTTGCAAAAACAAACATACAACACAGAGCTAACAGTGAAGAGCATGATGTCGTTACTATATTCTTTTTACCATCTGAAACCATATCAAGTATATGATGCGCCATTACATTTACATTAATATTGAGGGTGAAACTGTTCTCTTTACCAATGTACTCCAATTCAACGTCATATCTCTTTCTTGTTTGTCTGTTTCTCTTTTAAAACTATTATTGCGTGCATCATTATTTTTAAGTGCCAATTCATCTTATATGCCCTTACTTTTTTCTTAAAGGGGTGGCTTGGATTGAGCATAAAAAGCGTAAGCGTAAGCTGAAGTCTGCAAAGGTAAAGGCCTGGAATCTGGTGACTGGTGTTGAACACTTTGGCGACGCTCAAATCAAAGATGCGATGAAGATGGTGTACTGATGAACATCTATTAGAGTAATTGATACATGTTCTGGATCATGTAATATGTTTTAAGAGTTTAAGTCTGAGGTAAAGGCCTGGAATCTGGTGACTGGTGTTGAACACTTTGGCGACGCTCAAATGAAAGATGTGATGAAGATGGTGTATTGATGAACATCTATTAGAGTAATTGATACCTGCATCATGTAATATGTTTTAAGAGTTTAAGTCTGAGGTAAAGGCCTGGAATCTGGTGACTGGTGTTGGAACACTTTGGTGATGCTCAAATCAAAGATGTGATGAAGATGGTGTACTGATGAGCATCTATTAGAGTAATCGATACATGTTCTGGATCATGTAATATGTTTAGGAGTTTAAGTTTGAGATTGAACATCTTTTCTTTGGGCGCAGACATATATGGAAATGAAATTGAGGGCAACGCAAAGAAAGAAGTAGTGCTAGGCGTTAATTATGTATGACAGACATATGGAAATGAAATTGAGGGCAATGCAAGGAAAGAAGTAGTGCTAGGCGTTAATTATGTATGACAGCACGGTTGTTACATGAACTGCGCGATGAGACATATCTGTCGCTTACTCCCTCAACTTCAATGCATAAGTCGGAGATTAGAAACAAAGTACCCTAGTTTTGTGGCTAGATTTTTATATGTACAAGCTTTTAAAAGGATGTCAGGTACAATGGAAAGAATGTTGGGCAGAGAATTGAACTTTTCTTTTCCTAGGGTGGGTGAAGCGCCCAGCAATGAAATGAGTTTGGTAGGTGACTACAACTCTACAAGGGTAGCTCTGCGCATTACTTCCAAGTCCACCCATGTTAAAGATCTCAATGTCTCTAAATCCAAGTCCACGCATGAACTTCGTTTTTGTCACTAGAAATTGTTTTTTTTTCTGTGTGTGGTTTTTTATTTCGTATTTTCATATTTCGTTTTTGCTTTGTATTTTTTCGTTTTATTAATTTCTTCAAGTTTCATAAAAAATGCAATATATGATGAGCATTTGTTTCCAATACATATGAACTTTTTTATTATACAGTGAATTTTTTTGAATACACTGAACATTTTTTATTATAAGATGAATATTTTATATATACATTAAAATATTTAATATACGATGAAACTTTTTTGTATAGACACCACGCATTTTTGTAATATACGTCGACCTTTTTTTAGTATACACTGAGCTTTTGAATAAAACACATATTGAAGGTGGAGGGTATCGAGCAAATATTTTTGGTTCTTCTTTTCCTTTTGTTTCCTTTTTCATTGCATGATTTGTTTTTGAATTCTTGACCATTTGCTTTATTTCGTTCGCTTATGCGACTAGGGTGGATCCTAGGCGACAAATAAAGGTGGCTTTTGAAATCCAGGGCAGATGGGCCGGCCCAGCCGGAAGCGTGCATGCTGAGTTCTTGGCTTCATTTTTTTTCGTTTTTGTCACTAGAAATTGATTTTTTTCTGTGTGTGGTTTTTTATTTCATATTTTCATATTTCGTTTTTGCTTTGTATCTTTTCGTTTTATTAATTTTTTCAGGTTTCATAAAAAAATGCAATATATGATGAGAATTTTTTTCCAATACATATGAACTTTTTTAGTATACAGTGAAATTTTTTGAATACACTGAATTATAAGATGAATATTTTATATATACATTAAAAAAATTTAATATACGATGAAACTCTTTTGTATAGACACCACACATTTTTGTAATATACGTCGACCTTTTTTTAGTATACACTGAGCTTTTGAATAAAACACATATTGAACAATTTTCCTAAATATTTTTAAATTTTAATAGGTTTGAAATATCTAGCTCGTAAAACAACAACAAGTTTTTTTGTGGTTGGTTGGGGGCGAGTGGGGGGGGGGGTGGAGGGTATCGAGCAAATATTTTTGTTTTGATTTTTTTGTTCTCTTTCCCTTTTGTTTCCTTTTCATTTCATGATTTGTTTTTGAATGGTTGAACATTTTTTTGTCTATCCAAACATTTTTGGAAGTCATGAGCATTTTTTGAAATTATGAACTTGTGGTGTGGTGGATATTTGCCGACCACACCACCACCATGATCTTCTTGCGGGCGGCAACGAAGATTCGACTCTGTTCAGACTGAACTGGAGCTCGAACTCCACCGGGAAGCTCCTTGCGGATATTGTCGTCGTTGCGGGACTAGGCAACGGCAACGCCTGGAGCGTGGTGTGGTACGCCTTCATCGCCCCGAGCGATGCAGACTTGGGAGCGAGATACATAGGAAGACGATGAGTGGAGCTAGCTAGCTAAACGTTGGTCGATGCTTCATGGCAATATTGATTAGCCTTACATCAACAAACCAAACAAACTATAACTTTTACTCATACTCCCTCCGTCCCAAAGTTGTACTAATGGTGAGACATTTATTTTAGAACGGAGGAAGTACCATTTACAGTAGGTACTTTGCCCGGAGTTGCCGATGCTGATGCTCCCTCAGTGGTAGCTGCATTACACTTTCTTTTTCATTTTTCTTCCAAGGAAAGCTGCATTACTCTCAATCATCAATACAGCCCCAACCACTTTGTCCACTTCGGCGTGATTTTTTTTTGAAGGAACACTTCGGCGTGATTTTTTTTGAGGGATGAAAAACTGTTTTATTCATCAAACTCCACATGGAGTGGGAGACAAGTTTGGTCGTGGGGAACACCGAACCATACATGGCGCACCGGACCTCTAGAAAGAGCAAACTTAGCTAAACGATGTGCTTCATAATTAGCAGCACGGGTTTCAAAGCAAAAATTACAAGATAAAGTAGCAGCTAGGATGTTGATCTCACTAATGACAGCGCCATAGACACCTCTTGACCCCCTGTTGATATCGAGAACGACCTGACGACAGTCCGAGGCCACTATGAACCGACGGATGCCCAAATCCTCCGCAAGAGACAAGGCTTCCCGACATGCAATAGCTTCCAGGGTTGGGGGATCAAAAATTCCTTCTACTACGAGAGCCGAGCTGCCAATATAATTTCCGCTTTCATCTCTACATACTGCCGCAGTAGAGCCCCCTCTTCTGGCCCGCACCCCTGCATCAACATGAATTTTGTGATGGCCCGCTGGTGGTTTCTTCGATCTCGCAGCGCCCGTCCTTGGAGCCCCGACGTGCGTAGGCTGCACCCGCTCAGTGTTACTGATGATAGAGAGGTCCTGTAGATATCTCTCAATGAAACAATGGGTGTCTTGCGGGCTTTGGAAAATTGCTTCGTGGATAGCTTTCCTTCGGGCATGCCAATGGACCAGAGAGTTACCGCCATGATGATAAATTGATCATGGGACAACAGGCGCATAACTGTGAACAGCCAATTTTTTGCTCCCGGCTCCGTGTCAGACGTTATTTTATGTGTGATCTCCTCGTTCGCAAGCGCCCAAACGCTGCGAGATGATGTACACTCCAAGAGGGAGTGGCGCCATGAGTCCTGGACTCCACACAATCCACAGATGCTTGAGTCAGCCATGTGGCGGTGAGCACGTACGTCGTTCGTCGGTAGAGATTGTTTGGACAGTCTCCATAGAAACATGCGTATCTTGCCAGGGACAGCCGTTCTCCATAGAGATTTCCAGGCCCCCTCTTCTGTGCTGGTGCTTGAGGGACCGGCTTGTCCTTCTAGCCAAGCCTCTCTTCTCTGTCTTGTCGACACCAGCATCCTGTATGCTGATTTTACCGTAAAGGTTCCATGCTTCTCGTGCTGCCAAGACCAAAAATCAGGTAGATTTCGTGTGCAGAGGGGAATACCTAGTATAATTTCTGCGTCCATATGCAAGAATGTGATTGAACAAGTTCTTTGTCCCACGAGGCCGTATCGCCCACTATTAGCTCGGACACCCTCACGGTGGGTTCTGTGATCGGCAACCCAACGGCCGTGGAAACTCCTCTTTAGGTAGCCAGTTGTGCTCCCAGATAAGCGTTGATTCCCCATTGCCAATCCTTCTGACCAAGCCCTGCTTTAGTGTATCCTGTCCCTCAATCATCGCTCGCCACACTTGGCTCGGGTGCCCACCTAGTTCTGCTGCAAGTATATCCACAGTGGGGTAATAGATGCTCTTGAGCAGTCGTGCACACAACGTGTCTGGATGCTGTAGCATCCTCCATGCTTGCCGTGCTAGCATCGCTAAATTGAAAAGTTCAAAATCCTTGAAACCTAGACCACCCATCCCTTTGGGTTGAATCATGGTCTTCCAAGACACCCAGTGAGGTTTGCGTTTGCCATCCTTACTTCCCCACCAGAACTTTCTGATTAGCATATTTAGATGTTCACATAATCCCCTTGGAAGCTTGAAACATGACATGGAGAACACCGGGACCGCTTGTGCTACAGACTTAACAAGCACCTCCTTCCCTGCCATGGACATTGTGCGTTCAATCCAACCCTGTACCTTGCTCCATAGTCGGTCTTTGAGGTACTTAAATGCCCCATTCTTTGAGTTGCCAATATCAGATGGCATTCCTAGGTATTTCTCATTGAGGGTCTCGTTAGGAACATTTAGAGTATCCTTTATCTCCTGCCTGACCAATTCTGGCACTCCTTTACTGAAATAGATAGATGATTTGGCATAGTTGATATGTTGTCCCGTAGCCTGGCAGTATGTATTCAGAACATGGTACACCTCATTAGCCCCCACACTGTTTGCTTTAAAGAACAGCAGGCTGTCATCTGCGAATAAGAGATGGTTCACCGGGGGCGCCGTAGGTGCCACCTGTAGACCACTCAAGTTGGATGACTCACTCTTGGATTTTAAAAGGCACGAAAGGCCCTCTGCTGCTATCAAGAACAGATATGGAGAAATTGGGTCCCCTTGTCTGATTCCTCGTGAAGGTTCAAATTGTTGTAGCTTTTTCCCATTAAACAAAACTGAAAATTTTACCGTTGTCACAAGGTTCATCACTATATCCACCCACCTTTCATTGAAGCCCAACTTAAGCATAATTGCCTTCAGGTAAGACCATTCTACTCTGTCATAAGCTTTAGTCATGTCAAGC